TCACCCACTGGAGGTGTTCCACCCACAAGTTGGCAAATATCACTACATTGTCCAGATAGGTGGCCACACATGCCCAGTGTGGGCAGAGTATTTTGTCCATTAGATGTTGGCAGGTTGCAGGGGCCCTGTGGAGACCAAAAGGCAGGGTTCAGAAGTGATAGAGTCCCCAGGGTGTTGCAAAGGCTATGATTTCTTGAGACGCTGGGTCCAGAGGTATTTGCCAATACCCTTTGGTTAAATGCAGGGTGATTATGTACTTTGCACTGTCTATTCCTTCCACCACTTCATCTATTTTGGGTATAGGATATGCATCACTTTGAAACTGCATTGACTTTACAGAAATCAATACAAAACTGGATAGTCTGATTAGGTTTTGGCGCCAAAACTGTTGGGTTACTCTACTCACTGGCAGATTTCTCTATCATCCCTAGGACCAGCATCTTCTTAATCTCTTGCTTTACTATTTCCCTCAGCCACGTTGGAACTCTTGAGTATCCCTTCTGAACTGCACAGCCTGGCTTCAGGATAACCCAGTGTTCAATCAGTGTAGTTCTGCCTGGAATAACTGTAAATACCTCTGAATTCCTCCAGGTGGCTTTTTACTTCAGCCCATTGCGTTGAGGTCAAAGCTGCCCCTAGCATGAGGCCAGGCATCAGATGTAGTGAGGGATCTGGAATTCCCAGGCCAACTCCCAGCAAACACATAGAGACCATACAGGCTTCCTGGGCCCTCCAGTTCTTCATCAGGTTGACATAATGTATCTGCAAACTTTGCTGTTTCTCTATTAGGTGAACGTCATAAATTTACCTTGCTTACCTTCTGCAGGACCTCAAAAGGGCCTTGTCAGTTAGCCAGCAACTTACTGTTGGAGGAAAGGAGAAATAGTAACACTGTCCCCAGGCTGATAAATCTGGAGCTGGGCATTTTTATTATACTGCTATTCCTGTGCAGCCCTGAGATTTTCTTTTGCAAGGACACCCACCAGATCTAATCTTTCCTGTAGCTTCAGGACATATTGGACTATGTTCTGTGTTGTTGTTCCTTGGGCCTGCCAGAATTCGTGTAACCCGCCCTGGGGCTGCTTTCCATATAATAATTCAAAGGGCAAAAAGCCCATGGAAGACTGCAGAGCCTCTTGAACAGTGAGTAATAAGTACAGCAATAACTGGTCCCAATTCGAAGGCTCTTCCAAGACAAATGTTCTCAACATCCCCTTCAGTGTCTAGTTAAATCTTTCAACTAATTCATCCATCTGGGGATGGTACACTGAAGTTTACAAATGAACTAACAAGCCCCAAACCTCTTGCGAGAACCAGGACATGAAGCCCATGCCATGGTCAGTCAAAGCCTTTTGGGGAATGCCCACCCAGAAGAATATCTGTAATATCTCAGAGGCCGCAGTTTGTGCTGAAGCCAAGTGAATTGCCACAACATGGGGGTAGTGGGTAGCATAGTTGACAAAGACCAGGATGAACTTGGACTGTCTTGAGCTGGGCTCCAGTGGTCCCACCAAGCTCGTTCTGACATGCTCAAAGGGAATGTGGAACAATGGAAAGGCTACAAGTGGGGCCTTATGAATGGGGTGGGGGGTGACCAGCTAGCATTTGGGGCAGGATGCAAAATAGTCCTTGATTTCTTGGTATACCCCAGGCCAGAAAAACCTTGCCAACACTCTGTCCTGGACCTTTTTCATCCCTAAATGGCCTCCCCATAGTACATCATAGGCTAATTTCAAAACCTGGCTATGGTATTGCTTCAGCACTACTAGTTGGGACTACTAGGTCCCTGTGGCCTTGTCTTTTGTTACTCTCATTGAGAGGTCCCTCTGTAACTCAAAATAGGGGTCCCAGGCTGCTAAGTTTGCATCTACTACGACCCCATTGGCCTGACCCAATCAGCCATAAAGAAGGTCTTACACTGGATCCTCCTTCTGATCATGAATGAAATCCAGGCCTCCTGCTACCTGATTCAATCTACCCTCTCAAGGAGCCCCTGGGATCCTAATCCTCTGGAGGGCAGTTCAGATTGCGTTGACCCCAGCCCCTTTCCATGAGTGTAACAGGGACTCAAGCAGGAGCCCTGTTACTTAGACAAGGTTGGGTCAGACTGACCTGAAGATGATCTCTGCCAGGTGGGAGGAATTATACACCGGAGACAAGATTGGGTTATTAGCTCACGAAAAACCGGCATAAAACTGGTGGCAGGAGACTGATTGCCTTCGGGCACAAGAAAAGGTGAGAGAGACAAGGAGCCCGTCTGATGACCTGGGAAAAGACGTCAGGTGGGCTGCTTACCTTACTCCTCAGGCGATCCCGGTGAGTGTGAGGAGAGCTGAGACACAGCATAGTGGCTTGGTGGGGGAATCCCAAATAGTGATAAGAATCCTGGGAGAATGGGTGGGCAGGAGGGTTGCAGGCTGGACTAAACCCTGACCCCAGATCCACAGTTTTGCCACATGCGGCAGTGCAGAGCGCAAGGGGATAACCTAGACTGCTTCTGGCACTCAATAGAGGCTAGAGGCGTGGGGAACGCGCCTTGTTCATAAGACAATCGGCACTTAGAAAGTTTGGCGGTACAGTGCGACTGGAGACACATCCGGTGTTGCAAGATCTGCTCAGCAACTCAGGCATGTCTCGCTAATGAGGTAATTGGTGAGACTTCTGTTTCTGTGCTACTTTTCTTTGGGAAATAAACCTGCATAAAGTATGTACCATCTGGGTAGTGTTATTTGATCCTTAGCCATAGAAGATCACTGATCTCCTTCTTTTCCTTTTGATCTAAGTTGTGGCAGGTGAGTACAGCAGAGAGATGCAGCTAGGATCACCCTCCTGCTCACACTGAGCATTTCCTCTATCTTGAGAGGGCCTCCTGCCTGTCTCACCACCACTCTTGGCATGATCTGGGTTGAGGTCCAAAGAGTTCAGGGTCTGAAAAGGGAAATATTTCCCCCAGTTCTAGTTGAGTGGAATTGGGATCAGCCTGGCTCCTATTAACTCTGAGCCAATCTCAACAATTTGGCCATTGAGCACCAGTCTCACCCCCCCCCCACCACGGGGTAAGTTAAGTGGTTGGCCACCACAGCTGTCATGTTAACTTCCTGTCCCCCAGTGGTCAAGCTCAGCCATATTACAGAGCATGCTTGGGTATCTCCATGAATATATGTCACATAAGCACATTCATTTATTGGGATGTCTGCTGGATTCACAAATTGTTCATGGACAAAGGTCTGGCTAGAGCCAGTCTATGAGCCCTACAACATGGACATCCCCTGTCTTAACAGGGACCACATTTCCCTTTGATCTGGTCTCTCCTGCTATACCTGTGAGACATATGCATGGGCATATACACAGTCCTTCTCAGGGTAGTCCCAGTATTGATTGCCCTTCTCCGCACACTGGAAACAAGTCATCAGAGCATCCCTTCTTCCTCCTGGGCTGTAGGAATGCCCCAGATGGCTATCTTCTCCCCCTAGCTGGGGTCCCAGAGGAGAAAGAGGTGGTGCCCCACAAAAGGCCTCTTTAGAGACCCTGCCTCTTTCCTCCACAGTTCAGGCCTCCTTGGCCCTGGGACCTGCCAAGGGATCGAGACAGTTTAACTCCACCCCCATGAAGTCCTCTACTTTTAGGGTCTCTTCCTCCAAGCTGTTTACCTACTGGCAATACACTCACCTTACTGGGAGAATGATGCAGAACTGCTTTAGGGTCACCAGTTCCACTATGTCTGCAGTTGATTGTGAGTCAAGGTTTAGCCAGAAGGTGCACAAATCCTTTAATTTCTGGGCCATGGCTCAAGGCTGTGCATTCAGGTCCCAAGTCTCCCATTGAAACTTGCAGTGATAGGCCTTCTCTGTGAGACTCAACTGGTCTACTATGGCAGCTTTAAGGGTCTTATAATCTTGGGCTAAACCTGCTCCCAGAGAAGTGACCTGTACCTCCCCAATTAGCAGAGGGGCCACCCTCACAGTCTATGCATCCCTTGGCCACTGATAGGCCTCTTCCAGTCACTCAAAAGTCACAAGGAAGGCCTCCTGGTCATCTGCAGGTTCTATATTCATGAGTACTACACTCTCTATCCTCTGGGAACCAGGTGACTCACCAGTACTATACAGGCTCACCACCCTTCCATGCAAATGTGACAGGTGTTTTTTACCTCACCCCTCTCCCCTTATATGGTGCATGACCTCACAAGCCCCGCCCCTGACCCCAGTCACGTGATGCATGACATTACCAACCCCGCCCCCTTCTCCAATCATGTGGTGTGTGACATCACAAACCCGGCCCCAGTTACACTGTGTGTGACATCACAACTCCGCCCCCACCCCATCACATGGTGTGTAACATCAGCAACTCCCCCCCTGCCCTCCAGTCACATGGTGTGTGACACCACCACCACACAGTCCATGGTATCCGAAGGACAGGCCATGCAGTCCCCGCAAAGCCCACTCCCTCATGCTGCAAGACCCACCCTAGACCACATGGTACAGTTATGACCTATCAGGCCCCAGACTGCTCTAGCCCCCCAGGGCACAGGCATGGCCTATGGGGTGGCAGTGGGATGGTGTGACCCTTCTAACAACCTGCCCCACCACCCCTAACCAATTGGCAGGGGTTTCAGAGGCCTCAGACCTCCCCCAGAATGATGCCAAACCAACTGGAGTGAGTAGAGGGGTGGGGCTCTAGCTGTAAGACCACCAACTCTAGATACTTTCCCAAGCAACCCCTCTGTTTGTCTGAGACTGTGCTAAGGCAAGCAGGGGTGGATACGAATTCTTTCACAACGCCTGTAGGCGCCCTCACCACAACCCCAAGATGGCCACATAGAAAGCATTACCGTAGAAATAGTTTTTCTATGAGGAGGAGGGCAGGCCCCTAGCCCAAAGACTTTTTGAGATGCTTGACCCTGTTCAGGAAGACCCAATGAACAGGCAAATGAAGGAGGCCCTGGACCCCGAAACAGATGTTGAGAATTTGGAAGATTGTATCTTTTTGCCAGAGCCTGCATGCAAAGTAGAGGTCATCGCAGAGGAGAGGTCGGTAAGAGACTTGGAGCATAGTTGCGGTGGGTGGGGTGGGGCACTTAGATTTTGATGGTAGTGGTGTGGGTTCACTTCATAGCATGTGTGTGTTTGGAAGTAGCTAAGGACTGATTAAACAGCAGCTAACTAAGGCCTTTATTTGAACTCCTTTGCAGTTAGATGAAGCCTTTTTAATGACTCCAGAAAGCCTCCTCACCAGTACTCCGATATAGATGACACCAGAAAGAAGTGTATGATTCTGCAGAGAACAGAGACCGGTTGAGGCTGAAGAGTTCAGAAGACAATTAGGCATTGAATTATCAGAGAGCTTATCTAGTGGGAAAGCCCCATGCAATTTTACCACAGCAATGTAAAAGTTATTTAAAAATGGTGGGTTATTTGTGGTTGTGTTAATATAATCACACTAAGTTATAACAACTGTTTGTAACCATTTGTTTTCAAACAGAACCTCTTCTTCTAAAATAGAAAAGCAGAACAAACACATACAGTCATGTTTTTATCCAGTAGTAAAAGGTAATTTTTCTGAAATTAGCTTTTGAAACTTTGTGTGTTTCTTGTGGGAGGAGAAGTTGTGCGCATATGAATTAGCGTCCCCTGTGAATATAGAGGATGGGGTTAAGCAAATTTTAAATTTGTAGTGTGTGAGGAAAGTGAATTCTCAATGCTGAGATGTAAATTTTATATTTCCTAAGTGATCACACGCACCACTCCCGAAGAAGAGCAGGGGCCAGGGTGGAGACCTCTAAAAACACAATAAAAAAAACAGAAATGCTCAGCCTGCAGATCATAACACCCAAGGATCAGAAGATCATCAGGACAGAACAGAATGGCATGGTTCCTCAAAGGAAAACACGCCACCTACCTCTGAGAAAACCATATGTAAAAACACAAGGATTCACACCCCCAAAACAGGTGAACTGGGCCCCGTGAATAAGAAACCCAGGACTGGTTGCTCACACAATTTAGAGAAAGAGGAGAGTCTTTCTTGTTTTTTGACAGATCATGATTTTTGTGAAAAAAGAGGTGGGTTTGGGGTGGTGCCGGCAGGCGTATACATCTCAGAAAAAGTGAGCAGAGTGCTTTGAAAGATCATGAGTACTACCAGATCAAAAGGGTAAATTTTACTCAGGAGGTAGTCTGTGTAACTTGGACAGCAGTCATGGCCTGTATCATAAGAGGAGGAGTCATGGTAAACACGGGGGTAAGAATGGGTGGCTAACCAGCAAGTGGCTCGCAGGCCAAAAAGTAAGAGCCTGGTTAAAGAGGAGTGTGGGGAAGGCTGAACACCGGTTGAGAAAAAATAAGAGATCCCCTAATAATGCTTTAGAAGGCCCCTTGAATGCTTCCCCTTCTCCCAGGCTTGACCCTCCACCAAGACCCATGGAGCCAGAGAGAGGGGATGGAGAATATGATTCAGGAAGCACTTTGGAGGGCCCCTCAAATGTTCCCCAGCCTCCCAGGCCTGACCCACCACAAGACCTGAAGAGTCAGAGAGTTGGGATAGCAAATCTGATGTAGAAGGCACTTTAGAGGACCCCTCAAGCAACCCCTGGTCTCCTAAGTCAGCAGAGGTTGTTTTACCAGACGTACATATAGTGTGGGTGAGAAGGCAAGAGTGCTCTGTAGCCAGATTTGGGGGGACGAGGTACACTGAGGATTTCTGTTTTGTGTATCTGGAGCATGTGCCATTACACGTGGCATACGAAGCCGTAAGCAGAGGGGTAGAAGAAATGGTAGCAGAACTCTGCCAGAGATTCACGGACAATGACTATGCCCAGTCACATATTCAGGCAGATAGCATGGCAAACTGTTTATAGTCTCAATCTATTAATTTAAACCAGATGACCCCAGAGCTGTTTTTAGAGTGGTTCAGTAACCTGTTACAAAGCCAGAGAGAAATATTGCTCGATTCGACATTTTGGCTGATTGTGGTCATTGTGAGAGGTGTGGGCGGTGGGAGCCATACAGTTATAAGCTCTATCCCCTATTCCCAGATCATTGCTAAAAAGAGGAAGTATTTGATCGACTTGAATACCTATGATACTAACCTGTGCTTTGCAGGCAGTCTATTGGCTGTTACAAAACGTAGAGGGGCCAGAGATACAGAACTGCTAGATGGTGCCAAAGAACTGCACAGGAAATTAGGCATGTCTATATATCAGAAGGTTATGCTCCATCAAGAACCTTTGTTTGAAGACCTTGAACAGGTTAACATTCACATAGTGATGCATAAGGAAAAATATGGGTGGAGTTTATTTAAAACATAGGACATACTCAGATACCCCGACACCTGTTTTCTTCTGCTGCATGGTGAACATTATCACCTATTTTGGATGTGAAAAAAGTGTTTGGCATGAGAAATTATTGCGATCTTTGTCAGAAGTTGTACAGCCATAGCCATGCGTGCAGGTTCTGATGTCGTCTTTGCCTGAGCCCAAACCGTGCTGAAACCATGGGTAAGACACAGAGGTGCCCTAATTGTAAGCTGTTCCATTGTTCCAAAGAGTGCTTAGAAAGGCATGTGGCCCTGGCCTCTGAAAAGCAGATCGAATGTCTGACTAAAACTCTGTGCGATGAGTGTAAATCTTACGTGGACAAAAAGCACAAGTGCAAGGGGTGGCAGTGCAAACAGTGTTAAGGGAAAAGCACGGATGTAAACAAGCACTGGTGCTTTATGCACCAGATTAAAGAGCCTGAAGAAGGCAAGGAGTACATTTTTTATGAGTTTGAACATGTGCAGGAGACGGGAATGCATGTGCCCAAGTACATTTTTGCAATGGAGCTAAAGACGGGAAAAAAAACCTCAGAAAGTCACAGGCAAAAACCCCAAAAAGGCTTGTAAAGCTAAGCCCCAAAAGCCTGAAAGCACTTGGGAGTTTAAGGGTGAAGAGTGTCTATCTGATTTTATTAAAGTCTTTATGGATAAAAAGTTCAAGGACTACACCTTCATAGCTCACAATACCAAAGGCTATGATGGTTACTTCATTGTTAGCCAGTTATTGAAGGAAAAAATGGGCATGAAACTAATCACCCAGGACGGTAAACTCATGTGCATTGAAGTGACCAGTCTAGATATCCGTTTCAACTTTTGGCCAATGAAACTTAGCAGGCTTCCACAGGCGATGGGTTTTGAAGGGGTTTGAAGAATGCAAAGGTTATTTCCCACATTTTTTTAACATGTCAGAAAACCAAAATTATGTGGGGCCTCTCCCAAAACTGGAGTACTACAGCGTTGAAAATATGATGAGAAAGAACAGTTTTTAAAAATTGTATCAGGATAACCGCGATAAGACCTTTGACATGCAAAAGGAGCTGGCCTATTATTGCCAGCAGGACATAAACATTTTGATGTTCTCATCCCGCTACAGTGATGAGATCATGAAAATGACATGGTGGGTAGATCGGGTGAAAGTAGATGGTGAACTCCAAAACATAGGACTCTGCATAGATCCTTTCCAATACATCATGCTGGCCTCCGTCAGCATGGCCATGTACAGGTTTATATTTTTGGAACTGCAGACCATAGCACTTTTCCCCCCAGACAACTATCACAGACAGAAAAAGAGGCTTTCAACCCCATCTATCCAGTGGCTAATGCACATTTAAAAGAAAGAAAATATTCAAATTCGACATGCCTTACAGGGTGGGGAATTTCACCCCCTATTTTTTAGATGGGTATGCCAACATTGACGGGCAACCTACAGCATTTGAATTTAATGGATGTTTTTTCCACGGTTGTGTCACTTGCTACAATGAGAAAGACCAGAACCCATTGACAGGGACCACCTTTGGGTTTCTGATTACCAGGCATTGCACAAGACCGATTATCTCAAGAGAGAGGGGTTTACCATCAGGACCATTTGGGAGCATGAGTGGAGGGCTCTGTTAGAAACGGATGGGGAGCTGGCAGATATTTTAAGCAGAACCCTGCTGCCTTCCCCACTGGTGCCTAGGGATGCTCTTTTGGGAGGGAGAACTAATGCCATCTGTCTATATTACCAAACTAAACCCCGCAAATAAATACACTATGATGATTTTACCAGTCTTTACCCCTTCTTAAACAAAACGAAGGAATACCCAACTGGACACCCTGAACTCATTCATGACAATTTCCAACCCCTGTCGAGCTATTTTGGAATAGCCAGGGTGAAACTGTACCCACTGTGAAACCCTTTTTTCCCTGTGCTATCCATCAGTGTGAACGGGAAACTTATGTTCATGCTGTGCCACCTTTGCACGGAAACAAGACACCAAAAGTACGACCCCACTGCTGAAGAGACAGCTCTCCTGGGCACGTGGTGCACACCAGAACTGAATAAATCTATTGTCAAGGGGTACAGAATAGCTCAAAACTATGAAGTCTGGCATTTTGATGAGGTCTAGCACCCTTTTTTCACGGTACATAAAAATGCACCTCCAACAGAAGCAGGAAGCCTTGGGCTACCCTGCCTGGTGTACCGACCAAGGAAAACAAGAGAGATACGTGGCCAATTTCTTGCACAAAGAAGGCATGACCTTACACCCAGAGCATATCAAACCCAACCCCGCAAAGCATCAAATAGCAAAATTGTTTCTAATTTCTTTGTGGGGTAAATTCAGTCAGAGAACTAACTTGCCCAACACCAGATTTGTGAGAGACCCCGAAGAACTCTTTGGCTACTTCTTTTCTTCCATCTATGAAATTTCATCTTGTGACTTTACTGAAGATGAGGCAGCCTGCGTGTCTTGGAAGCACGCCAAAAAGCGTTACATGCTCTCGGGTACCACAAACATCTTTATAGCCTGTTTCACCATCATTTATGCACACTTAGAGTTGAGAAAAATGCAGAAAGTCGTTTTTGACAAAAGTGTCCTCACAGAAAACTTTAACAGTCTCCCCTATGGTGTTTAAACATGGATCTGTGCTGGAAGCACCCCTTTTCTGTGATTTTGGCAGGCCCTAGCAACTGTGGTAAAAGTTATTTTATAAAAAACCTTCTGGATCACGCTGATCGAATGCTGCCTGTTTTGCCTGAGACTGTCCTGTGGTGCTATAGCTATTGGCAGCTGTCGCAGAGCTCTCAGGTGTCCTGCGACGGAGAGCAGAAATGGCTCAGGAGAGACCCCTAGTGGCAGGAAGGGGGAAGCTCAGCTGCCAGTCACCAGGACTGCGCAGGTGCTGGTTGCCAGGGCAACCAGGGAAACATAGAGACAGGAAGGGGAGGAGCTTAGCCCTTCTTAAGCCCCGGCAGGAGGCCAGGAGGGCAATTTTTCCTCCAGTGGCTGAGGGAGGAGGAACTCTGTCAGCACAAAGGGGAGAACTGTGATGGTGGGGACATCCCCTGGTCCCTGATGGGGGTTGGTGCGCTCGCTGTCTCTGGTAGGGATGGATTCTTATTTTTTGACCAGGACGGTCTAGCTTTTATGTTGTAGCCCAGGGGCTTTGTATTCTTGTGTTTATTGTTTTGACCGGAGGACCGGGTGAGGCTATTAAGGGTTGGAGGAGGCCTCATAGGGACTTCACAGTAGCGTGGGGTTTCCTGATGCCAGAGAGGGCGCAGCAGTGTTTGGGGTGCGTTGACTCCAAGCCAGGGGGGCAGTGAAAAGCCCCAGAGAGAGGGGGCAGTGAAAAAGCCCAGAGTTGGGGGGCAGTGAAAAGCCCAGAGTTAGGGGGCAGTGAGGAACCCCAATTGAAGGGGGCAACGAGGGGCCCGGAGCTGGCCCTGGTGAGAAGTCCCGGAACCGGCAGTGCGGGACAAGCTGGAGGGCGCC